TCCCAACAAAATACCAACTCAATTCTTTACAGAACAATCCTGTACAACGACAGATCATCTGGAGGTATCTCCATCCCCGATCTCAAGTTGTACTACAGAGCAATAGTAATAAAAACTGCATGGTATTGGGATAAAAACAGAAAGGAGGATCAATGGAACTGCATAGAAGACCCAGAAATAAACCCACACACCTATGAATACTCGATTTTTGACAAAGAAGCCAAAACCATTCAATGGAAAAAAGACAGCATCTTCAACAAATGGTGCTGGTCCAACTGGATGTCCACATGCAGAAAAATGGAAATAGATCTATATTTATCACCCTGCACAAAACTAAAGTCCAAGTGGATCAAAGACCTCAACATAAAACCAGATACTCTAAATCTGTTAGAAGAAAAAGTGGGGAACAGCCTAGAACTCATTGGCACAGGAGACAACTTCCTGAACAGAACACCAGCACCACAGGCTCTAAGAGCAACAATCAATAAATGGGACCTCATGAAACTGAAAAGCTTCTGGAAAGCAAAGGACACCGTTATCAAAACAAAGCATCTGCCTACAGATTGGGAAAGAATCTTCACTAACCCTTTATCTGACAGAGGACTGATATCGAGTATATACAAAGAACTAAAGAAGCTGAAAAGCAGCAAACCAAGTAATCCAATTAAAAAATGGGGAACAGAGCTAAACAGAGAATTCTCGAAAGAGGAATATCGAATGGCAGAGAAACACTTAAAGAAATGCTCATCCTCATTAGCCATCAGGGAAATGCAAATCAAAACGACCCTGAGATATCACCTTACACCCATCAGAATGGCCAAGATGAAAAACTCAAGGGCCAACACATGCTGGAGAGGTTGTGTAGAAAGGGGAACCCTCATCCACTGCTGGTGGGAATGTAAACTGGTACAACCACTCTGGAAATCTATCTGGCACTTTCTAAGACAATTAGGAATAGTGCTTCAACACCCAGCTATACCACTGCTAGGTATATACCCAAAGTTTGCTCAAGTACACAAAAGGGATATTTGCTCAACCATGTTTATAGCAGCTTTATTTGTAATAGCCAGAACCTGGAAACAACCCAGATGTCCATCAACGGAGGAATGGGTACAGAAATTGTGGTATTTTTACACAATGGAATACTACTCAGCAATCAAAAAGGAGGAAATCATGAAATTTGCAGGCAAATGGTGGAATTTAGAAAAGATCATTCTGAGTGAAGGATCCCAGAAGGAGAAAGACAAACACTGTATATACTCACTTATATAGACCTATAAGATATGATAAACATAATGAAATCTGTACACCTAAAAAAGATAATCAAGAGAGCGGACATGGGGTAAGATGATCAATCCTCATTTAGAAAGACAGATGGGATGTGCATTGAACGTATGACAGGAGTCTACTGAGCGCATTTGAAAGACTCTAACTAGTAGTGTTTTCAAAGCAAAGACTCATGACCAAACCTTTGGCAGAGTACAGGAAATCATAAGAAAGAAGGGGAGTTAGTCTGATGGGGAAAGGATAGGAGCTCCACAAGGACCAAAGATATCTGGGCACAGGGTCTTTTCTGAGACTGACATTCAACCAAGGACCATGTATGGATATAACCTAGAACCTCTGCTCAGATGTAGCCTGTGGTAGCTCAGTAACCAATTGGTTTCCCATAGTGAGGGGAACAAGGACTATTTCTAGCAGGAACTCAATGACTGGCTCTTTGGCCACCCCACCCCCCACGGGAGCAGCAGTCCTGTTAGGCCACAGAGGAGGACTTTGCAGCCAGTCCTGAAGATACCTGATAAAACAGGATCAGATGAATGGGGAGGAGGTCCCCCCCATCAGTGGACTTGGAAAGGGGCACGGTGGAGATGAGGGAGGGAGGGAGGGACTGGGAGGGAATGAGGGATCGGGACACGGCTGGGATACAGAGTTAATAAAATGTAACTGATAAGAAAAAAATAAAATTCAAAAAAAAATAAAGAAATATTTAAAAATATTAAAAATATTTTAAAATCATTTAAAATAATGTCAAATAGAACCAATATGTTAAAGTATACAAATTTACGTGGTGTGTTATTTAAAATAACTCAATTTTGAAACTCCTAAGTGTTTTTATAAAGTAAAGGCCTGTAAAGTATAAGCAGGCTTCTACCATACATTTTCTAAATTGTAACATGTCAAGAGTCTAAAGTGTTATGTTCATTAAGTCTAATTTATGTCTCTTGAATTGTGTTTAATTGACGATAAACCTTTTCAAGAAACAGAAGTTAGAGCCCTTTACTACTGTTTCATCAAATTAGTTGTCTGTGTCTTTAATGTAAATTTTTTGCATGAAAAAGTTCTATGGAAGAGAGAGGTATAGTTTCCCATGTACAGCATGAACAGAAAAATATAATGTTGAAAAATTTAAAATTTCTGACTCTGAATATTGAGAGGTGTCAGGATGTTATTTTCTAAGAAAAATGCCTGCTACCTGCCTTGTCTCCCAGTGTTACTGATACAGCACAATTTTATACTTGTTATCAAGCTAACAACTTGTTATCCCTTCTTTGCCCTCCAAAGTAACCTACCTGTACAAAACAGGTCATTTGAATTCACTATCATTCCTCTGTTCATCCACACTGACCACTCTCCTTATATTTACCTATCTTTCTCAGATGCTCTCCTGAAAGAAAAAAAAAAAAAGCCTACCCTCTATATTCCATCTTAGGTTCTCCTTCCACACCAAGATTTCTTTGAACTAAAAATTTCTGCCCCTTACTAAGCTGCATATAAAACTTCTTTGCAACAATAACTTCTATGTGTTATAGATGTGTATATGCCTGTCTTCTTCCAGGACATGATGAGTCCACTGAGAGCAGAGGCCTTTGATAGCCCAGGATTCAACATGGGCAATGTCATAGCTCTTACTGAATGAGACAGCTTTCCATATGCCCTATGATATATCATTTAATGGTTCGGAATTTGAATTGTAAGACTAATCATGTAATAGATTCTGACAAGTCATTTTTTATTATAACCTACCCCAACCAGGAAGGAACCAAAGACATGATTTTCTTCTCATATTCAAACTAAATGATGATAGTTTGTGTTTGTATCCTCTTAAATAAATTGTAATATATATATTGGTACACATGCTCAAATGTATTACCTATCATGAGTACATCTACTTCAAAAGCTAAGATAAATTTACACATTATACTCAGATGTACATGGAAAACATATCAATTGGGTATTTAAAAATTAATAAGAAAATATATAAATAGCTCTTCATTTGGACTAAATGCACATTTTATCTTGTCTAGTTTAAAATGAAGATATGCTGGAGCTGGAATATCCAAGATGAGTTAAACCAAAATGTATGAAAATATTACTCCTTCATTCAAAACTGCTGCCTCTGTGGGGTATTTACAGTAATTTTCAAATATTGTGTGCACAATAACCACATGGAGATGCTACAAATGAAAGTCCTCAGAAGTTGGAGGGAATGTGTGTGTGTGTGTGTGTGTGTGTGTGTGTGTGTGTGTATATATATATATATATATATATATATATATATATATATATGGAAATAAAGGGTTGATAGTTAAATATATATTAGTATGTTTTGGGTTGTATGTATGAATCTTTCCTATAATACTTATAATTACTCAAAAGTTCTCCACCAAAATTTTCTCAAAATGATCTTGTTTCCTTCTGAATTAGTTGCTTTTGTTTATTTAAATATTTCTTTTTGATAGATTAAAATGGCCAATTCTTATTGCTCATATTTATTAGATGAAAGATTAGGTTGGCCATTTTATAACTATCAAATACATGAACTAAAACAATGATAACAAAAATCACAGGACAATTAAAATTCCCCAAATAAGAAAAAATAATCTGTAGTTTATTTTGGTAAAAAGAATACTGAGAAAGTCTCCAAGATATAATGCAATAAAACCAACAAATGAAGAACATAGAATTTAAGAATGGAATGTGAACCCAATAAAACCAACAAATGAAGAACATAGAATTTAAGAATGGAATGTGAACCCAACAGTTCCAACAGGCACCTAAGAAGGATCTTTACCAACAGCCCTCAAAGGCAGTCAGAGTGATGAGTTAAATCATAGAAGAAAGTCTCTCAACCCCACGGCATAGCACTTTGGATGGTCTAGGAAGTTTCCTCAGGACAGATTACAGACAACCTACAGGCACATCCTCAGGAGAACTTAACCTGGTTCAGCATGCTTCTCACCTTCGCTGTGTTGTCTGCTTTCCCTGAACATCTAAATTGTATGGATCCAATGTTTCATGTTCTCATTTCATCTCCACTTTGTCTTTATTTCACTCCATTATTGCACCAGACTCCGCACTCTGAACATCATCTCCAGAGTGAAAGCTCCCAGATGCACGTCACCATTTCACATTCTCCTCCAAATTTCTGTGCATCAAGCTGCTATCTGTTCCACCGTTTCAGCAGTATTTCAAAGACATGAATAAAACAGAATTTCATCTTATGCACTCCAACACTGCCCCTTTCCCAGTCTCCCTATTCTCAGTAAACAGCAGCATCATTAACTGTGTTATTCAAGCCTTCATTCATGACTCCTACGTAAGCCTGTCTTTCTCACACCATGCATTCAATCCAGCAAGACTAGCATCTAACATGAACTTGGAAGAAAGTATGTTCAAAAAGAATAGCAATGTATCTCACACTTTGAAGAATTTATACTTTTGTCTATTTCCTTTCTTTCACAAGATCTTATCCAAAACAATACACTTATTAAAACACACTGAAAGGGGCTGGGTACATGGCTTAATGGTTAAGAGAACTAGATGCTCTTCTAGTGGACACAGGTTTTATTCCCAGCACCCATATGGTAGCTCACAACTGCCTGTAACTCAGTCCTATGGATGCAATTTTCTCTTCTGGCCTCCTCAGGCACTGATCATCTATGTTGTACAGAAACATACATACAAGCCAAATACCCATGCACATAAAATATTTTTACCTTGAATAATGCATAGCTTGGTGTCCTGCAATATTAAAATAGAAGTCTGTTGTGTGCTTCATTTCATTGGTGTGCCCAGTGGCCTCAATCCAGTGTCCTACTGGAAGACAATAAACACCATCCACCAAATTATTTTCATTATATGTGCAGCAACGGTCATGGTGAGGTCCATTTCCTAGAACAAGAAATAACAAACAGCAATTACCTCAGTGTTTTGCCTAGACAGCCTTGAAATGACTGAGACAAAATTAGTAGTAGTAAGATGAAAATAAAGATAAATCCACTTAATTACAAAACAGAAGAGACTAGAGTAGGAGAAATTTGGGCATTTGTAGATTTACTTATAAAAATCATAGTGTCTGTGTTCCCTCTAAGGACATGCATTTTAATAGAAAGCTGCTTATTAACTCTTTCAGAACTCCATGAACCTGCTCTGCATCCTACAACAAGCTATGACTCTTTTTTTATAGCCAAATACCATTTGAAATGGTTTAATTGTCATTAATATGCCTGGATTCCATCATATCTTTATGGTATGCAAATGTACAACTCTGGTCAATAGTAAATTATCTTAGTACCAACACACACAGTCAATATATAGAAATGAATATATTAATAAATAGTTAAAAATGTAAATTATATCAGCCAATCTAATTCTCAGGTAAAACATGGACCAGTGTTACGTATAGATGAGCATACTAAGTTTCCCAGAGGTTAATTAGCTTACCCAAGCCTGCTGAACTCCTAAGCTCAGTGATTATAAACCAACTCCCACAGGACCCTCTCTTTTAGGCACCTGATACCTTCCTACAGCTCCCTGTCTCCTTGACATGCAGAGACACAGGGTCCTCCTTCCCAGTGCCACAGAGCAAAGAAGAAACAGAAGATCATGTCTCTAAAAGCATCATTTGCCTACTGTGAAGTTTTTTTTTCATTATCAACCGTACTGTACATTGTGATCTGAATGCTTGCATCACTGCCAAAATCCCATGTCGAAGGAATAGAGATTCCTTCTCCTCGTGAGAGCACAGCAAGCAGATGCCATCTATGAACAGAAAAGCCTATAGCAGATCCTGAATGCTCCTCATTCCTGCTTTTCCCTACCATCAGAACTATAAGAAATATATTCCTGTTTATTACACGCCTCAGGCTATATTATCTTAGAGGTAAACTAGAGCTTTTATTTCTATGAAAATCAAAATTCAAACTATATTATAATTAGATCTTACATGCTCATCTCATTTAAAATTATCTCTTTCTTTATCCCATCTTCTATATAAGTAAAACAAGTGTCTGTGATTTGTAGGAATAAAACTAAAATGTTGAGTCATTTGCTACTTTCAATCTTAAAAATGTCTTCCCTAAAGTTGCTTGGTGTAAAATTCAGAAATACTCTTTAACTAGTGGTGGATTCTCTAGAACAACTGCCTCCTTTAGGACAAGAGGCATAGAATTGATCCCTTAATAATCATTACTGATCTTCCAAGACAAGGCTCCTATCTTTTCTCTTGATAGCACAATACCATCTGTCCATTAACAACCTTGATATTTAGGAGAGGACATCCAAGTGGACCAGCAACTCAACTTCTCCAAGTATATCCAACAGAAGAGTGTATATACCATTACCATTTCAGCAGCAAATGCTGCAATGATATGTTTACTCTTTCTTTAATAAATATTTGAGACAGGTAGTGTGCAGCATCACAGTAAGGACTTAGATATTTAAGAGCAATTAAAAATTTTCAAACAGTTTCAAGCAGCCATATGACAAGATCACACTTTCATTTTGAAATGACTCTCTATTAGAGCAAAAATTAATTCAGAAATAATGAAGTTGAAAGTTCAAAAGCATGGCCAATAACTCAGTAAAGTATGAGGTCCTGAGTTTGATCCCTGGAGCTCATATAAAAAGCTGGCTCAGTAGCCCTGTGGGTAATCCCAGAGCTGGGACAGCAGAGACAGGTGGGTCCTTGGAGCTAACCAGCCATACTGCATAGCCTATTTGGTGAACTCCAAGCAAATGAGAATTGGTCACAAAAATGAGGTAGATTGACATCCAAGGTTGTTTTCCGGTTTCTACACACAGACACAAACATTTACATACAAATATATGAACACATAAAATTATCCACCACACACACACACATACACACACACATGCACAAAGTAGTGAGTCCAGTTAGAAAATTAGATCAGGAATGTGATGAGGAAATATCATTGGCAGAAACAGAATAGACTAGGTAAATTCAGAAGGAAAAAATCTTCTAGACTTATGAATAATCAGACATGGAAAGAGAAGAAGGTGGAGGATCAGTAAAGACCGCCATACTTTCAGTAAGCAGCATATTATAAAGAGTGGTAGCATTTATTGAAAGAAAAAAATCTGGAGGAGCTCAGTGTGAGAATAGTGGATTATAAGTGCTGAGTACTCAGATATCTATAGGAGAATATCAAACAGAGCTAGAGTTATGGATTTGTCACTGAGGCTAAGGACTTCGACTAAAAATAGTTAAGAAACATCTATATATAAATGTCATTTAGTCATTGGATGTAGGAGAAAACAAGTAACAGGACAGGAGCCTACCACAGAGGAAGTCTGAAAGACTTTACCTAGCAGTGTATCAAAGCAGATACTAAGGCTCATAACCAAACCTTCGGCAGAGTGCAGAGAATCATATGAAAGAAGGGGGAGTTAGTATGACGTGGAGAGGATGGGAGCTCCACAAGGACCAAATATATCTGGGCACAGGAGTCTTATATGAGACTGTTTCTCCAACCAAGGACCATGTATGGATATAACCTAGAACCTCTGCTTGGATGTAGCCCGTGGTAGCTCAGGAACCAAGTGGATTTCCCTAGCAAGGGAACAGAGACTATTTCTGACATGAACTCAATGGCAGGCTCTTTGACCTCCCCACCCCCAAGGGAGGAGCAGTCCTGCTAGTCCACAGAGGAGGACATTGCAGCCAGTCCTGAAGACATCTGATAAAATAGGGTCAGATGAAAGGGGAGGAGGTCCTCCCCAATCAGTGGACTTGGAAAGAGGCAGGGAGGATATGAAGGAGGGAGGGTGGGATTGGGAGGGAAAAAGGGAGGGGGCTACAGCTGGGATACAAGTGAATGACCTGTGATTAAAATTTAAAATAATAATAATAATAATAATAATAATAATAATAATAATAAACAAGTTAGTGGACTAACAGCTCTGCACAAAATTGGTCGAGCCTCATTTATTCTCAGTAGCAATCATGCTTTGTATTCTTTGAGAAAAGTCAAGTCCTTGAAACAGCTGTGTAGTTGTGGCGATGCTTCAGTCCTCTCTAAGGTAAGCCTGAGGTATACAGAAATGAAGAGAAAGCATGATTAACATGGCTCAGGCTTGGACTCACTGCTCCACCTCCAGCAAGGATCTTCAAAGGAAAACTCCCAAAGAACCCAAGTTAGTTCAGCTCGGAATTTTAGGGAAATGTTCCTTTGTAAACACTGCCAAACAGGATATACAACAGCAGAAGGGAAACATCTGTTATTAGAGAAAGATATGGGTATGTTGTAAGCTTTTAAACATAAATCAAAGAAATATGATGAAGGAGGCAGGCCTGGGTTCTGTGTTGGGTGGGGTAACGTCTTTCCTAAGGATATTTACTAATCACTTGATCATTTAATATCTCATTGATATGGACTGAATTATGTCTCCCCAAATCCAATATACTAAATCCCTAAGTCAAGAAGCCCATATTTGAAAACAGGAGCTTGGGGAATCTTATAGAAGAGGGGGAGGGAGGGTTGAAAGAGCCAGAGAGATCAAGTACACCACAAGAAAACCTACAGAATCAACTAATGTGGACCTATACGGACTCACAGAGACTGAATCACCACCAGAGAGCATCCATGAGACTGGGCCAGTTCTAGATCCCTCACATCTATAATAGATGTGCAGCTTGGTCCTCATGTGGAACCTCTAATAGCAGGCGCAGGGGCTGTCTCTGTCTCCGTTGCCTGCCTTTGGATCCCTTTCCTCTAACTGGACAGTCTTTTTGTCTAGCCTCAGTAGACGATGTGCCCATTTCTACTTGATATACCAAAGTGGTTCGTACCCATGGGAAGTTTCTTGTCCTCTGAGAAGAAAGAGGGTAGCACAAAGGGAGAGGAAGGGAGGTGAAAGAAAGGGCCTGGAAGGAGAAGAGGGAGGGTTACTTCCTACTGGGATGTAAAGCAAATAATTTAATCAGTTAATTATTTGAAAAAACACAAACAGAAAAATATAAATACATACATACATACATGACTGCTAGCAGAAATGGACCCGTTGGTCAGACAAAATTTTTACAGGGCAATTATTATTTAAATGAGTTAAATTATGAAATTATAAAATGTATAAGTGCTATACAGAATATTCAGGGATTGTAGAGAAACTATGCCTCAATGGCATTTTCCAAGTGTGATGACTACAAAGCAGAATTGACTCCGATGCTTAGGAACAACTAGCTCATTATAAAGAAAATCATGATAGTCTTTCATAGATGGAGAAGGCTGAAGATGGAAAACCAGACAAGGATGAATCAGTGACAGCTAGAATTTAGGGTTTATGGCAGAAGGATAGATCTTAGGCTGACTGACTGACAGAGAGAATGAGGAGCACAACAACTGAAACAGATGATGATAAGAACAATTGATCCAATGGGTAGAGCAATAACGGTATAGTCTACAATATCTATATCACATGCCACAGTATACACCATAACACAACTGCATCTCATGGCTGGGGTAAGGAGAAAACTGAATGCTACCTTTAATCACTAAGAAGGCATGCTCACAAGTTCTTTCACTATAATGAAACACCTGAGATATTTAACTTAGAGCGAGAAAGGATTTACTTTATTCCACAGGTCAGGAAGTTCCTGTCCAGGATGAACCAGGTCATTCACTGTTCTGGTTCATTCAATGTTCAGCCTCTGGAAAGGGTAGCATATGGCAATGGTGAGGAGGTTATGATAAACCAAGCTGTTCACCTCATAAGCCAGGAAACAGAAACAAGAGGGGGAAACTGGGGTGGCCTTCCTCCAATCAAGAGTAATTCCCCAGTAACCTAGTGGCTTCCTGAAAGACTAAAAGCACCTTCCAGCAGAGCCACCCTGGAGAGTAATGTTTCAGTGCACAAAGCTATGAGAGGTATTC